ACTATTTACAAGTCAGATGATATTATTAACTAGAGATGTAACGGTATCAGAATTTCACGGTACGGTAATACCTCGGTATGAATGTCACGGTACGGTATTTATTGAATCATTTACAGGAAAAAACAAAACTTATGAAAATACTCCAAAAAAGTGCCAAAAGTGTCAATGACATACAAATTAGTCATCTATCTGTAAGCTTTGAAACAGGAACTTTAATTTTAATAACAAAAAAATATTAAACCATGTAAAAAAATAAAGTTTCAATTTAGTATTGTTGAAAACTCATCACATTTAACATTTAATCACTCACTCACTTAGATAGAGATGGGTTTTAAGGAAAATTATCATATAAATATAATCTGGTAAAAGCTGGTATCTCTGGGCATTTACAATGTCCCCTGCAACAGAAAAAAACCCCTCTCATTTGGGACTGAGGTTTCTGGGACAAGAGAGGTATGAATTGGCCCAGGTTGACAGCAGTGGGTAACGTTGTGCATTGTCTTTCCCCCACTTGAGAGGACAAACCATGAGTGAGATAGAGATCTCCTGTCTGCATCAATCTGAACAGTGTGCTGACAACACCGCTATTCAGTACACGCGCGACAACACAGCTGAAAAGAACTCGCGCGACAACACCGCTATTCAGTACGCGCACGACAACACAGCTATTAAGTACGCGCGCGACAACACAGCTGATAAGAACTCGCGCGACAACACCGCTATTCAGTACGCGCGCGGCGACAACACCCGCTTTAGAGTTTTCCAGCTCTTTTTCATCCCCGCTTCTAGCAGCACACTCCATTTCCGCATTACTGGATCTGTAGCGACAACAGACCGCGAGGGATGATGGTCAAGCATGGGCTGATGGGAATTGTAGTTTTCGCTACCTCCCGTTCGCTTCATTCGCCTGAGCAAATTTTCTCAGAAGACCTATAGTTTTACCGAGTCATGCGACTACGGTAATATCGAAAAAAATTAATATTGCGGTATGACGGTATTTACAATACCGTTACATCCCTATTATTAACGCATTCATTGGGTAAAATTGCTACTTTTTTCAGTCATTCAATGTGTTTTGGTCATTATCAATGCACTGTCACTTAAATTAAGTGTGAGCAGCGTGGCAAAAATAGACCCAGCGCCAAAACTATCGCGCCAATACTGCTTCAGCAATGCTCACGCCTCGCTGCTGCTGCTGCTTGCGGTATTAAAGCTCTAATCTGTTAACATGGACGCCGAAAAAACACAGGCTGCTCACGCTCTGCTGACGCTTGCAGTGTGAAACAGGCTTAAGAAGTATGCAACACAGCAACAATGAAAGGAGAAATATGTCTGGCTAATATATGGTATCATACAAAATAAATGTGAACTGTGAGGTGACAGTACTAACCACTGAGCCACTCTTGTGTCGGCCTCTTTTATACTCAACAGAAGAAAAAAAACTCTTGGATCAAGCAAAGAGTGAGTAAATGATGACATTATTGTCATTTTTGGGTGAGCTATTCCTTAACACATTATAGATGTTTAACGTATATTATCCATGAAGTGTGAAGTGTAGTGCGCTGATTTGAAATGTCTGACATGTTAGTCGGAGGTCAAAGGGTCATACATAAGAAACAGCTAAAACTTCTGACATAATTTTGTGAGAAGTTTCCTGACTATTTGTGGAGTTAATTAAATTCCATTAAGCTTCCTCACCAATGTTATGACAGCGATACACTTTTAACAACTGGGAGTCACTTAGATCATTAAGAATTCTCTTTCCCAAAATAAAGTTATGTGTCTGCTGTATTGTCTGGAAGAACAATGACCTCTGCGGCAGTGGATTCTCACCATGCTGTGAGATTATTACAGTGCTTTTTAACCAGGCAGCCAGACAGAAGGGTTTCTGTCTCGCTGATATGGTGGAAAGCAATGCCAACACACCTACACATGGAGAGAGAGAAAAAGAGAAAACATTATTTGTGCATGTATGTGACACTGAGCTGAGGAATGCTGGTTTCACGAAGAAGATTTCACAAAATAGGATGAACTCAGATTTTTGTTGAATTTCACACTACTCTGTCATTCATTTACCATCAAAGAGATATCATCTTGAATGTCAGGAACATTAGGGGCTCTTCTGGATAAAAGTGTCTGCTAAATGAATAAATGTAAAGGGTTCAGAGGTTCAACTGGCGCTGACACTGTAATTTGTCATATCTTCAGTGTAAAGAAACAGTTGACTGCAGGGTCATCGGAAAGATCTGAAAAATGTATGAGAGGCTTTATGAATATGGAGATTATTAATATTGGAATATGTAAAATGACGACATGGTAGCTCAGTGGTTAGCACTGTCGCCTCACAACAAGAGAGTTGCTAGTTTGAGTCCCAGCTGGGTCAGTTGGCATTTCTGTGTAGAGTTTCCATGTTCTCCCTGTAGGTTTCCTCCGGTTTCTCCCACAGTGCAACATGCGCTATATGTATGACTTGAATAAGCTAAATTAGATGTAGTGTGTGTGTGTTTCCCTGGGCTGCTGCTGGAAGAGCGTCCGTTGTATAAAACATATTCTGGAATAGTTGGGGTTCATTTCGCTGTGGTGAATAAATAAATAAAGAGACTGAGTTGAAGGGAAATGAATGAATGGATGAATATGTAAAATGATTGCTGGTCAATGTTCTTGTCCTATATTTTCCATAAGCAGATCTGACCAATTCCAAACAACACATTCCTTCATTCATTTTCCTTCAGCTCACCTTATTCATCAGGAGTCGCCACAGCGGAATGAACCGCCAACTTATAATATATTTTACATTGCCCTTCCAGCTGCAACCCAGAACTGGGAAACATTCATACACTCTCATTCACACATACAGCCAATTCAGTTTATTCAATTCACCTATACCGCATGTCTATAGACTTCACTGTACTCTACTGACACAAATTTCCTGTTTATTCAAAAAATAAATATAATCATTTTGCTGTAATTTTCCTATTCGGATTAACCCAAGTCAGTGTTCTTGTCATATATTTTCCATAAGCAGAGCTTAGCAACAATACAATTCTTTAGAATAAATATTACTTGTGTACAATATACAATTGTACACATGCATTTATATTTAAATGGGCATATAACTGTTGAAGTAATAGTTCATCCAAAAATAAAAATGATCTCATCTTTTACTCACCCTATACTTCATCCAAACAAGATATTTTGTAGAATGTTGTAAACTGGTAACTACTGACATACATAGAAAAATAACGAATAATTTGGAAGTCAATGGTTACCGATTTACAACATTCTAATCTAATGCAGGGCGACACGGTGGTGCAGTGGGTGTTTCTTCGTTTCTGGATGATTCGAGAGGGGCTACAACCTACAGACCAAAGATTGTAGAAGACCTTTACGGCCCTGTTGTTTTGGATGCGTCCAATAGGGGGCGTTCAATATATTATGAGCCTTCACACTCTCATTATCAATCAAACCAAACTTAAAGCGAAACTTTGAAGAGGTAGCATTTTACAGTCTATGAGAGGTAGGCTTTGTCAAGTACTTTTAAAGCAAACGTGAAACTGCCAACAATTAGATATTTGTATGTATTTGTCTGTACATCAAAAGATTGGTGCAATAGGATATAATTGAATTTAATTTCAATTAGGAATTGTCCTCAATTTTAGCTAGCCACGTGTAAGCTAGCTTACATTTATCCACCCGCTTTGTCGTTCTTATGTAGACTTTGATGGTTTTTGTTGTCTGTCTCTAGCCTGAGTGAGGCCTTTCCATGTCAGATATATTCTTCTCCTACCATGTTTTAATTGCTTTATTTTACTCATGGATTTTGCAGCAACATTTGAAAATGTCTACAGATTTTGGATGGATTGAATAAGCCATACGAATCAGTATACAAAAAGACTGTCTAAAAAGATTTATAACAGGTCAATATGTAACGTTAGCTCTCTAAAAGATAATTTAACTGCACACCAGCTAAAACTCAGCAAAAACGTTTTAATAAGCAAAATAAACACACATATACACGTTTTTTATTTATTGAAAAATTATTTACCTCTGTTCCTTTTGTGCTAACGTACATTTTACAGACTCATCTATCTTCAGCGCTTCTCAATGACTCATTTGTTAAGAATTGACGCCATCTAGTGGCGGCTTTAAGTTTCATTTAATAATAATTTCCGTTTGCTGAAGTATGCCCTTATGAAAACATTCATTCATTCATTTTCTTTTCGGCTTAGTCCCTTCATCAATCAATGGTCACCACAGCGGAACAAACCGCTAGCTCATCCAGCACATGCTCCACGCAGCAGATGGTCTTCCAGCTGCAACCCATCTCTGGGAAACATCCATACACACTCACGGACATATACGGACAATTTAGTCTACGCAATTTACCTGTATCACGTTTATGGGTCGTGGGGGAACCCGGAGCAAACCGTCGGGAACACAGGAAGAACGTGCAAACTCCACACAGAAACGCCAACTGACCCAGGCGAAGTTCGAACCAGCGACCTTCTTGCTTGCTTTCTTGCTACCTACTGCACCACCGCGTCACTTGTTATGAAAACAAAGAATGAGGAAAAATATCGCCGTTAAAATAAAGTTAAACTCAACTGCTTTTATGTTCGGGCGTTTTTTTGTCTTTTAATGCTATCCTGTTAAATGTAACTTACTATTTTTGTGTTTAAAATAGCCACTGTGGATCACACACGGACAAAAAAATGGTAAAACGCTACGATATAGTACAAAAGGATAATTAAGCACCTTGATGTAAATTATTTAAATAGTCTTGACTTTTATAACAAAACATTACGACACACTTTTCTGTTATAACGACTAGAGGGCTAAAAATCGCTTACAGCTCCATGTGTCAGGATGGCCGAGCGGTCTAAGGCGCTGCGTTCAGGTCGCAGTCTCCTCTGGAGGCGTGGGTTCGAATCCCACTTCTGACAACACTTTTCTCTTTTTGTAGGTTAATGGATGAACAGGACTGCTTTGACGCATGATCAGAAAAGAGACCAAAGGCCGTTTGACATGCTTCACAGAGAGTGGAGTATTTCCAACAAAAGGACATCACGACAAATACAGTTTTACTACTGCTCGAGTCATTGATCGCAATGCAAAAATGACTGTTGTGCAGGTTAGTGAAGTATTCATGAGATTAAAAATAGTATTTTCAATTAGCCTATATAAAAGTGATTGGTTGAAAACAGTAGTCATGTACTGTTTTCCACTTTATAACGGCAAAGGTTATTAGCATTAGCGATAAGATGCTATTTTCTTTTGATTATTTCAGCTTTAAATAAATTAACAACTAAAAATGTCTGTCTGCTCACAAAGGATGCATTATTTAAACAAAAATAGACTAAAACCATAGTACTGTAAAATAACTAGTTTTCTGTATGACTGCAAAAGTAGAGAGAAAGAAAAATATTGTTAATTGAAAGTTAAACTGAATGCTTTTATGTTCGGGGTATTTTCAGCCTATTATCCTGCTAAATGTTACTTACCATCTTTGTGTTTATAAAAAAGGTCACTGCAGATCTTACACGGACAACAATTTCAAATATAATTTATAATTAGTTTTCTGTGTGAATATAGTTGAAAATACAGTCTTTTGTTATTTACAAACCTTCACAAAAGCATCAACACAACGGTTTTAAGTGTCGCATAATCCTCCTGAGTACATTGCTGGTTTGCTTCTCTATTATAAGGATTTATTACCTTTAGTATTGGTTATTATCCATGTTGAAAACATTTTCGTTTGTGAAACAGTTTAGTTTTAGGACTCTTAGATAAATTGAAATTGTTTAAATATATTTGAAAATGTATCTTTTTTAATCAAGTTGATGAGTTATTGATTATCAATTTTTTAAAGAAAAAGAATTCTGTCTTTTGCAGCGCTGCACAAGATGTCGTTTCTGCATCGATATTGCAATGTGATCAGTCACAATAGTCACATCGCAGGAAATATGCAATGTTGAGTTTGTATTATAATTTATCATCTGCATGTGTTTTTGATGCCTGTGATTGTATAAGGATTTTAAAAGCATTCAGCTATTATACATTGTACCATTTGTGACCTTAACTACAATTAATTTCATTGAATTATTTTTATTATTCAGTTACTGTACTTGAATACTGTTAGACTCAGGAAACGAATAAAACACTTTATTTAAATTGTATCTTTTTCTTGATTGTGTTTTATAGATTGTTAAGCGTGAAAATACTCACAACACATGCAAACACAGAAATGCACTGCAAATAGCAAAGACCACAACAAAAATGTGTCAGTGGACCCGAAAATTGTTTAGATCATTCATTAGATTTTATGGAGACAATTTAACATTATATAACTTAATATAATTTAACATTATACATTTTTTCCAAATAGATATATGAAGTCATCTGGTGAAATTGTAATCATGTCGAAATACATATCACAAAATAAAAAATATTGCAATGTTAGATTTTTCCAATATCGCACAGCCCTTGTCTTTTGTAATGTGACTTTTAAATGTATTGTTTCATGAATGTTTTTTTAACATTGCAAATGATCATATATGTGCAGCAAATTGGGGTTTGTTGAAATATAAATATACACGCTCATATTATTCAGTGCAACATTTTCTTGTCAATTTAATAATTATAAATAAGTTCATCCTCCTCTGACAATGAAAGAGAAGTTTTAAACCTTTAACCATCCTTTTAATTGTTTGATATCTTCCCGTTTTTAAAAGAGGAAGATATTATTACCTTAGTAACCTACAGTGCATGATCACACTGTGAATGTAGGTGTGTATGAGAGAGAGAGAGAGAGAGAGAGAGGGGGTAGGTGTGTGAAAGAGTGACAGAAACTTTTATCAGTACAGACTGAATTGCCAGGCAGTGACAGCACCTGCATGACCTGTTCCTGTTCTTGTGTCTCCACTTTCATTTTCTAGTGACATTTTCATAAAATCAACTTATTTTATACTGAGAAGAAATGGCGGATTTTCCTGGGAAGGTCAGCACTCAGACCAGCTCACAAGAGCCTCAGAGAAGTTTTGCAATCTCATCAAGTGTTGACATGGGTTTTATCAAGAGCATTCCTGGAATACTGCTTATAGCCGAGATCGTAAGTACTAAAAACTGTAAATTGATCTTTTCATTTAAAAGTCTCTTTTTTAGCGTATAGAAAACTATTTGCTTCTGCTGTCATAATAGGCTCACACCCACTTTTCTGTTCCGTGACTTCAGTTTTCAAAAACAATCAAGCATTTATGAAACAGCAGGGCTGTATAGGTGTTGGTTGATAAGAAACTAACCAGGGCAGTACTGTGGATTACGGTCATCATTGTTCTTATGGTTATGATATTATTTAAACAGTCCTGCATGTTTGTACAGGGTTACGTTTGTGTTAGGTGTGTTTCCACATTGAGCCTATTCATACAGTTAAAAGTAGATAAAGCAGCAGTCATATCAACATATTCATGTGTAAACTTATTTACTATTAATATATTTAAATGATTGATTTATTACAGTAAAGATCAGTCCTTATGATGTTTTCCCACTGGTCAATGCTTTACTAACACACTCCCATTAATGCAAACACAGTACATATGTAGCTGGCTTTAAAGCACTGTAAATATAAAAGAAATATAACTGAACTTCAGTGAATATTTGATCTGAGGTGTGTCTATGGAGTCAGAGACAGTTGTTATTTGGGGGTGTCTTGTGTCAGACACATGGCAGATATCTGAGACCTTTATCAGATGAATAATACATTGTGAACTTTTGAAATTCATTGTGCAAATGGATGCCACTAGCATTGTCTGTTCCTATGGGGAAAAAGGAAAAAAACGAACTCATCCTCAAGTAGTTCCAAAGTTTTTTATGCTGCTTGTTCAAGCTACTTATCTAATGTGCGTTGAACCAACACAATTCTTTAGTTTTGTATTTGGACAACTTAATTGTTTTAGGTTCAGTCCACTTAAATTTGTAAAAACGATTAAGCTGACTTAATTTGTGTTGGGACATCATGTAGGAATCGTGTGCATGTTTTACATTGTAGAAGATAATTCAAAGAAAGCGAAAAACCAGTAACCACCGACATCCATTGTAGGAAAAACAAATAATATGAAGGTCAAAGGTTACCGCTTTCCAGCTTTCTTCAAAATATCTTATTTTGTGTTCAACAGAAGAAAGTCAAACAGGTTTGGAACAGGTGGAGGATGAGGGATGAGTAAATGATGACAGAATTTTCCAGTTTTGGGTGAACTGTCCCTTTAAAGGATTACTTTAAATTCATCAATTAAACCCCCAAATGACTTTTTCAAATTTGTATGACATACTTTTGTCCAACTGGTTGACATGGTGGCTCAGTTGTTAGCACTGTCGCCTCATGACTAGAAGGTTGCTGCTTTGAGTCCCAGCTGGGTCAGTTGGCATTTTCTGTCAGGAGTTTGCAAGTTCTCCCTGTGCTCGTGTGGGTTTCCTCCGAATGCTCCAGTTTCCCCCACAAGTCCAAAGACATGCTCTTTTAGTAAATTGAATAAACTAAATTGGCCATAGTGTCTGAATGAGTGTGTATGGGTGTTTCACAGTACTGGCTTGCAGCTGGAAGGGTATCCACTGCGTAAAACATATGCTGGAATAGATGGTAGTATAACCGGCAACCCCTGATAAATAAAGAGACTAAGCCACAGGGAAAATGAATGAACGAAACTTTCGTCCAAACATAGGAGTCAAAAGAGGATATTTCTAAAAACATCTCAGTATTTAGTTTTACTCTATAAAGCCAATGAGTTTCAAAGTTGTTTTTGACTCCACTGATGCAGAAAAATCTTGTGTGTCACACAAGCTTCACATGTTAAAATCACATGTGAAAAATGTGGTTTTGAAATATGTGAACAGCAGAAATGACTTATTACATCATACATAAGTACATGCTTTCAAAACTTAATATGTTGCTAAAAAAAAGAATGACAACACTTAAGTTTGTATGATATAAGTTTAGTGTTATCTAGGGCATTACAACACCCCTAAAGGGATATAGTTCACTCATGAAAATTCTTTGATCATTTACTCATCCTCCACTTGTTTCAAACCTGTTTGTGCTTTTTTTCTTCTGTTGAACTAAAATGAAGATATACTGAAGACTACTGGAAAGCAGCAGCCATTGATGTTCATAGTATATTCTGTTCTTGCTATGGATGTCAATTGCATTTTTTCTTCAACATTCTTCAAAATATCAAATATCTTGTTTTGTGTTCACCAGAAGAAATTGATTGATAAAAGATTTGAACAACTTGAGTGTAATATATACATACACACAGAATTATTAGCCCCCCTTCAATTTTTTTTCCTCAAATACTTCTCAAATGATGTTTAACAGAGCAAGGAAATTTTCACAGTATGTCTGATGTTATTTTTTCTTCTGGAGAAAGTCTCATTTGTTTTATTTTGACTAGAATAAAAGCCGTTATTAATTTTTTAAATACCATTTTAAGGTCAAAATTATTAGCCCTTTAAGCTATATATTTTTTTCAGTGGTCTACAGAACAAACCATCATTATAAAATAACTTGCCTAATTACCCTAACCTGCCTAGTTTACCTAATTAACCTTGTTAAGCCTTTAAATGGTACTTTAAAAGCTGTATAGAAGTCTTTTGAATAATATCTAATAAAATGTTATTTACTGTCATGAGTGTCATCATTCATTTATTCATTTTTCTTTTTGGCTTAGTCCCTTTATTAATCCGGGGCCGCCACAGCGGAATGAACCACCAACTTATCCAGCACATGTTTTATGCAGCGAATGTCCTTCCAGCCGCAACCCATTTTCTGGGAAACATCTATACACACTCTACTGTCATCATGACAAAGATAAAATAAATCAGTTATTAGAAATTAGTTATTAAAATTATTATGTTTATAAGTGTGTTGAAAAAATATTCTCTCCATTAAACAGAAATTGAGGAAAAATGTAAAGAGAATGGCTAATAATTCAAGGGGGCTAATAATTCAGGCTTTAACTGTATATAAAACTTTCAGTTTCAATTTACTTTCACACATTTCAGTACTGCTACATTATGGATTTCTGCCTGAAAAACATGACATTATTTAGCTTTCTCTAGAAACCGAATAGTATACTGTATCACTGCAGTCTTTTCTTATAAAGAAGAGCACATTACGTAAAAAAGAATATATGAAAAGATGACGTTATGACCAATTTTGAAAAGTCATGGCGATTTTATGGAAAAACAAAAGTTATTGATTTGAAGCCTTTTTTGGGAAGCCACTTGTCTTTTGTGTTTCTTATTAAGATAACATTTACAAAAACATTTCAACAAGCATTTTTAAAATTATACAAGATTCTACTTCACATTTTAAGTCAATTTAATGTAGTGAAAAATAAAATGACATTGTGACTTTCAAAGTTCAGACAAAAGCAGTTTAAATGCTACCAAATATCTTAAATTCAGCAGCAATTTTAATTTAAAAAAAGCAATTTCAGCATAGCAAAGTTTTATTGTTTATAATGTCTGATTCAAAGAACTTTGTTTAATCCAGGGCTGCCCAAACTTTTCAGTATGAAGGGCCAAAATCCAAATATTGAGAGCTGTGGGCTGAAAATAAATACCAAACTATATTACAATTAAAGTTGCCATACATCATTTTCTAATTTATTTCATAATATTTATAAATAGAAAGCATTATTTTGAATCACAATAACTAATGTAGTATGACATTTTATAACGTTACATTAAAAACAATCACATTTATAACAGCGTAGTTCAGTGCTGAGTACACTAGTCAAGAATCTGCCTTTTGCCTTTACAACAAAGTCTCTGCATTGTCCTCTATCCGTCAGGTGACAGTATGTACTTTTAAACTAAATATGACTCATTTCAGTTATTTATAGCTTAACAATAAAACAAACCAAAAAAGGTTAAAAACAAAAATTGAAACGACAATCTTTAAACCATCCCAATCATTTTCCCCCTCTTCTCAGATGGGATGGTGGGCCAAATCAAAGGTTACCATGGACCAAACTTGGCCTGTGTGCCCTAGTTTGGGCATCTCTGGTTTAATCATTTCATTCATCATATATCAGTATTGAGCAGCACAGTTGTATAATATGATCTCCATTATCTGTTAAGGTTGTTGGATTATTAGTGTGGACGCTGATTGCCAGTACTCCCCATTACTTGATACCTGCTTTAGGCTGGGTGTTGTTTGTGAGCATTACTCTGTGGCTTCTGAGCATTGCCCTGCTGGTTATCCTGTTGCTGAGTCTTCATCAGCGGTTACCCTCGGTGCCCTGGCCTTTGGTGGTGAGACTCTTTGACTATTCATGAAGGAGGGAACATTTCTATAACAAGATTTATTCATCAAATCAGGTTTATAATCCCTTTTCTCTCTTGTAGCTGTTGGTATTCTATTCTGTCGCAGCTCTTTTGTATCTCACTGCCTTTCTGGCTAATGCTGCAACTGTTCCTGGTGGGTATTACCAGGGTCATCTAGGAGCCTCTGCGGTGAGTGAAAACATCTACACATTCACATGAGCTACACTACACTATGAGTTGAAAGAGTTTAAAAATTAAGAAAGAGGTAAAAGAGTTTAAAATTAAGTAAAGCTTATCTGTGAAACACTCACTGATGATTTCAGCATGACATCACACAGCGCACCCAGGTCAGGTGATTTAGTAAGAGCAGCGGACACACACCCACACATACATACATATGAAAGACATAAGAATTATTAGCCCCCCTTTGAACGTTTTTCTTTTTTAAAATCTTTTCCAAATTATATTTAACAGAGCAAGGACATGTTCACAGTATGTCTGATAATATTTTTCTTCTGGAGAAAGTGTTGTTTTTTTTATTTCAGCTAGAATAAAAGCAGTTATTATTATTTTTTTTAAAAACATTTTAAGGTCAAAATTATTAGCCCCCTTAAGCTATATATGTAGCTATATATGTGGAGTTTAAGTCTCCACATATATAGCTACAAACCATTGTTATACAATAACTTACCTAATTACCCTAACCTGCCTAGTTAATCTAATTAACCTAGTTAAGCCTTTAAATGTCCCTTTAAGCTGTATAGAAGTGTCTGGAAAAATATCTAGTCAAATATTATTTACTTTCATGACGGCAAAGTTTAAACAAAACAGTTATTAGAGAAAAGTTTTTAAAACTATTATTTTTAGAAATTTGTTGAAAAAAATCAACATGGAGGCCAATAATTCTGACTTCAACTACATACATACATTCACATATAGAGCTATATAGCATTCCTAATAACATTTGTTTTCACATAATATGTGTGTGCTCTGTGTATATTTATTTTGGATATATAAATACACACATGCATGCATATATTTAAGCAAATGTTTATATTTATGATATATGCATATGATATAAATTTAGATACCCATTTGACAAATTTTGTATAGATTTAATTAAAGTATGTGTTTGTGTCACATATAGATAATAAATATATAAAATACACACACATATTATGTCAAAATAACTTTTATTGTGGATGCAATTAATGTTATCTTGTGATAATCTTTGCCCAGCTGTAATATACACACACACACAGACACACACACACACACATACATATACATATATACATTCATACAGATACATGCATATACATGTACACATTGTTCAAAATGTTAAATTTTTCAAATAATTTGCACAAGATGATTATATAGGTATTAGCATTCAAATCAATAAAAAAAAATTCTTGTGCACCAAATCAGCATGTTCAAATTTTTCTGAAGGATCAAGTGACCGTGAAAGAAAAAAAATAGTCTAAAATGTATTATTTTACCTCAATAATATTTAATATGAAGTGTTACGGGGCACAGTGGGTAGCATAATCGCCTCACAGCAAAAAGGTTGCTGGTTCGAGCCCCGGCTGGGTTAGTTGGCATTTTTGTGTGAAGTTTGCATGTTCTCCCAAGTTTGTGTGAGTTTCCTACGGGTGCTCCGGTTTCCCTCACAGTCCAAAGAGATGGGCTATAGGAGAAATGAATAAGTAGTGTATGTCTGTGAAAGAGTGTGTATGGGTGTTTGCCAGTGTTGGATTGCTGCTGGAAGGGCATCCGCTCCGTAAAACATATGCGGGATAAATTGGTGGTTAATTCTGCGACCCCGGATTGATAAAGGGACTAAGCCGAAAAGGAATGAATAATATTTAATGTCATTTGATCAACACTTAAAAATCAAAAATTTTGAACATTATTATATAATACCAATTATATAATACAAAAAATTGATTGATGCATGTCGTTGTGACAAAGCATCTGAAAACTTCACCTGTATAAAGCATGCTTCCCCACTCGTATTACACAATGCAGTGTTTAGAGATCAAATAAAAGGCTTTTAGGAGCTTCTTACAATGTAAAACTGTCAAGCAAGTTGCAGAGCAAGGTATGTGTGTTTACAGGCCCATTAAAATCACTTAGGCCAAAGTCCAGTTTAAATTACCCATAAGCACATGACAAACTCCACCATAATGCACAACAGTAGAGGAGCGCAATCAACCTTTTATACCTCATCCATGTGTAAAGGTCAACTCCTTAGGTTTCTAAGTTAATACAACATCTTTAAATCAACATATAAAGTGGAAATTACAATTAAAGAACATCTCGTTTCAAAAATAACCTTCATCGTGAGGGTGGGTAATTAATAACTGAATTATCATTTTTGTGTAAACTACCCATTTAACATACATTTCTACTTACAGTTCTTTGGTATAGTGGAGACCCTGTTATACACAGCCAGCAGCTACTTTGCCTATTTGGGCTGGAGGGGTGAAGGGCAGAACGCAGCAGGGAGCACGGTGCCCGTGTAGAGCATCTCATCGTCTGGATAACACTCACATTCTCTGTATGAGAACACTTGGAAGAGGATTATTACTCAGGTTATTGCTGAAACTCATCTTCGGTGATGTCTGACAGTCTTAATGGTGCAAAGCGTAATTGCTATGGTTTATAACATGGACACTGTGTACTGAGAGTCACCATCCTGCATATGCAGGGCTCAGATTTTATTTTTACATTTTTGTTTTTGTTTTTTTTAAGAAAGAAATGAATTGTTCTATGCAAAAGGGATGCATTTGTTTAATCAGGAGTGACAGTGATATTCTATTTTAAATAAATGCGTCCTTGGTGAAATGAAAAGCATTTTAAAAAGCCCAAGTTTTTAAACAATATACTGTTTTTTTATACACACTGAACGACTTGAGAAAACATGTATTTAAGAGGTAAAGTTGTTGTCTTGGTGTAAATCTGCACTTGATGTATTTGATTGGAGCATAAACATATTTGGATAAAATACGATTAAAGAACCACTGTATTTATTTCTTCAACTGACATGTTCAAATATGTCTATATATACAAATAGTAAACAAATATACACAATTTACGAAACATTCATCTAGTCAGAACAACACAGTCTAGGAGGAGTGAAAAGGCTGAAATTTGCACTATTCAAAACAGGCTATTTTGAGTCATTCTGCTTCTCAGAACGTATAAGAGCAATCCAAAACTTGACTCAACATCATATTAAAAATCTATGAGATTATTTGCATTGTTATGGTTAAAATATAGATTTTTCAGATTTTTTTTAACCTAGGGAAGCTTTGTGAATGAATAAAAGGGTCTTTAAAAACTGTCATCACATCAGGCACATTTTATAATACTTTCTACTGAAAAGCCCTTTATGGTTGTCAAGCGAAAGTCGTCATCTTTGTATACAATTATATATTAAACTGTGGGGTTCTTAATATGCAATAAAGTAGCAGCTTTACATGCACATCACCATATTCTTATTTTTGCTGCTCTGTAGGCCAAAAAGGCATGAATATTGAGTCCATCATAAGAATACTGCAAGAAGAATCATACAGGATAAGCTGACAGTTCACCTGACTGTGACGTTTAAACATTAACCTTAAACCAAACACAGATTCCCATTGGAGAGGTTACCATAACATGACTGTTTGTTTTGGGATGCATCAGAAAGGCTTGTTCAATAAATATTCATCTTTTTGTAAATAAGCGTAATCATTTGTGCCACTTAAACAAGTTCATTTACTTTAAATCTTCGCATTTAGCTGGCTCAGATGGACTGTGAGGCCATGCTGGGGGTCAAAGGTGAAGCCGAGGAAGAATTTAAAGACTTTACCACTAGTCCGGTGCTAAGATCCAATCCTCTGCCCTCCTTTTCCTATAAAAATAAGATTGAGTGAATGAGCTTCGGCCACACATTATGAGTAGGTTTATTACATCTCATAGTTTAAGGGGCAAAGTTTCATTGTAGTAGGTTTACTTACAGCTCTGTAGTCAGTGAACATCTCTTTAAAGGCCATAAAATCAGTGAAAGTAAGCAGCATGTCAAGTATGTCACCTGAGACCTCATCTTTGTGCTGTCTATTTGAAAGAAGAAGGTTTACAAATTAACGAGGAACAGTAATGTAGGTCATCGGTATAGAATAACTCCATCTAGCGGTAGATTATTTGTATTACAAGAAGACGTTTAAAAAGCAGGTGTTTTCAAATTGGGGTCAGCAAGATAAAGAAAATTGGCCCATTGAAACCCAAACATTACAAACCCAAATATCTGAGTGCCATAGTTTTATACATGTTAATAAATATTAGAAAAATTTTAAATGAACATTTTAACCATTCCTTACTAAATATTGCCAATACACACTCTATACTCTATATACACTTTATTAGGTACACCTGTCCAACTGCCTGTTAAGATTGGAAAAAGGTTGCCTGGTCTGATGAGTCGATTTCTGCTGTGACATTAGGATTGTAGGGATTTGGTGTAAACAACATGAAAGCATGGATCCATCCTGCCTTTTATCAACGGTTTAGGCTAGTGATGGTGGTGGTGTAATGGTGTGGGGGATATTTTGTTGGCACACTCTGGGCCCGTTAGTACCAATTGAACACTTTGTCAACGCCACTGCCTACCTGAGTATTGTTGCTGACCATGTCCATCTCTTTATGACTCCAATGTACCAATCTTCTCATGATAGCTACTTCCAACAGGATAATGCGCCATGTCATAAAGGGTGAATCATCTCAGACTGGTTTGTTGAAGATGACAATGAGTTCACTGTACTCAAATGACCCCTACAGTCACCAGATCTCAATCCAAGAGAGCACCATTGGGATGTGGTGGAATGGGAGATTTGCATCATGGACGTGCAGCCGACAAATCTGCAGCAACTGTGTGATGCTAACATGTCAATATGGACCAGAATCTCTGAAAAATATTTTCAGTACCTTGTTGAATCTATGCAACGAAGGATTAAGGCAGTTCTGGAGGCAAAAGTTGGTCCAAACCAGTACAGGTAAGGTGTACCTAATAAAGTGTCTGGTGAGTATTTTGGTGCATTTAAACAAAATGCAGTTTTGTTTTACAGTTAGATCCATTCCATTAAAAGTGTGGTCACCTAACATAGTAAGAAATAATAAGGTTATATATTTAAAAACTACAAACTTTTTTGAATGTTTCTCTTGGTTTTTCCTGTTTAAAATATTATTTAATATTTTCTCCCAACATAGTAATTTGAGTCTACTATTTGTTGGACTGTGATCTTAGTTTTTTTTTTTTTTGTTAGATTAGTTCAAGATTTGGATTTAGTACTGGCTAATTAATGTTTATACATAAACATATGATTGTAAAGCATGATATAGAAAATATTAATTTAAAAGAGAGATCTGTGAGGGGTGTACTTGTTTATGCTGGGCACTGTATATAATATTTAAATACAAATATATAGCTGCCTTTGAATAAGAAGGCTAGGATATTGTCTATTGTTTACTGTTTATAACTGTTTTTGTACCTTTAACAGTAAGCATATATGATAATAAAATACTAAATACACTAGCCAACACTAATGTCTAGAAAAGCAGATAAAGGTGTAAGACGTACTTAAGTGAATGGGTGAAGGCATCCATGTTGAACCCAGGAATTCGTTCCACCAACTGCTGTTCCAGATGCTTCTCTAGGATTTCAATCTAACAGAAATTTATAAAAGAGTTTATTAAAATCTTAAGAAGAGCCATAAATTAGTGAAAAAAAACAAATAAATTAGGTACCACATACATATTCGTTAAAAATGGGTGTATAGCTGAGCTTGTTCTCCTCTGAGTCATCAAACTCAAGGTAATATTTCTCCATAAAAGACTGTTGAAGATGCTGGAACTCATCCTCTGTAAGAAAAATTGGATAAGTAATTAACAATTCATTCGCGTTGTTTAAATGACAACATTTTTATTTGAAACGGCAGAAATGCAAACAGAATAAAACTAAAATCATAATTTACTTAAACACTATAAGTTGCAAATCCAAAGCTGTATGTACTCCGGCCAGTAAGAATTGGTTTGTTTTATAAAATCATTTGCACAATTTACTTCCAAGCTCAGTTCACAATGTTTTTAATTTCGCTAACACAACCGATGTATCCGTCATGACAGCCAGGTCAAGATCGGCCTGAGATTTCTGTTTTTCCGCACCTGTTCTACGAGCTCTAGTGAAAAACTCACACTGCAAGATGTTTGGACATACTTAGAGTGTCAATTTCAATCGGAGTTGGTTAAGTTTACAAGGGTATTATAACTTTATTGGTGAGCGGATTGTTAGAGCGAATCAACCAGCCATCCTCGTCAAAGCCACATGGCTTCTCTTGCACAATTTACTAATTAGTTCACCTGTACTAATTAAATGATGCCCACAAATTAAGAGATTAGTTCCCACGACTATAAATTGTACAAAAAAAACAATAATTGAACTGCTTTGTTTTCTTGTTTTAACAACAACAAAATAACTACACAGTAAAAAGTGCTGAATTCCACACAATGGAACACAAATTAATTAAGTTAAAGTAATCATTATTACAAATTTATGTGGCTTAAATATAAAACAATTAAGTTGTACCCAAAAAACTTAAGAATTGTGTTGTTTCAACTCAACAAGCAATTTGAACAAGCAACAATCCAACTAATTATTGTAAATGTTTATACTGTGCTCGGTTTTTCCAAGAAAACTAATAAAACTTGCTGACATTATTAGCAAGTCGTGGAATCAATGCTGTTCCCTAGGTTTAATTACAATAAAAAACTATTCAAATCAATGTTGCACATTGAATGAGAAAACGAATCAGTTTTTACTTAAAATGAGGGAGTAATTAAGAAATTAAACAATCATTAGTATGAATTTGTTCCTTCATGTCATATGTAAATCGATGTACAAACCATAAGAAATAAAACTGCATTTTGGATATTAGAAATTACTTAAGAACATTTCCAATCATTACTAAGTGGCACACATTTTTTTTTCACAGATTATGTAAGAATCACCCTTGTTTCAGATTATTTCTAATAGATTATGAGATGATTTAATATAGTAATTAATAGATGAATACCCATTATAATGTCCTCGATGTTCCCAATTACTATGTCAAATTCTGCATCAGCATCTGATGATCTGGAGAGAGAAAATATTATGATTAATAAATTAAAAAGAGTGTAAATTTGACAGAGCTGTACATTTTAAATTTAAGAAAACGAACTATATAACTCACTTTGAAACAGAAAAGTCCTCTTCATCCAAGCTCTGCATGTCAACCATGTTCTCGTTGCCGCCTAGCAGATCTGGGTTTTGTAGAAAAGTGAGATAAAATAATGTAAATAAACCTTTTAAAAGCAACAGCCACAATTTTAAATACTCATTGAAAAGACCGAGAAACTACTCGGGCAGATTTGAGAACGCTAGCTGGTAGTAGTGCAGGTGCACGGCTGTCGCATGGGAGCGAGCTTTAAACAGCGCGTGATCATGCGGCTGGTTTTGCGGCCTGTGAGCTACGGTAGATTATTTTTAATTCGAGAGTTTGTGACTATTTTAAAATATTTAATTACCCGACTCTCGAGCATCCATCATTAATCGCCCGACGTCCTTCCTGAAGTCGCTGCTGCCACGGCAACAAGAGCACGCGTACATGCTTAAAACGCGTCCGGTTGAAACAAGTCTCATTTCATTTGGTTCCGCTTGTTTGAGTCTTTTAGAGCTACACGATAACAGACAGACAGAAGGATCGTTAAAACTATCGTTTTAATGACGTTAGCTGGCAAGTGTTTAAAGTTTACAAAAGTAAATAATTTGACAGAATTATATAATGAGGCACCACACAGAAAATAAATCAAATTTGTTGTGGTTTTAAAGGGATAGTTCACCCAAAAATGAAAATGTACGTATTTGCTAATTCTTTATTTGTTACACACTTTTATAAGTTCCTTTCCTCATTTAAACGCAAAATCAAAATTTTTGATCAAAATCTTAAGCTAGAAAGAAAGCTGAAAACATAAAAACATTGACTTTCATGGCAAGAAAAACAAATGCCCTAATGGTTATCGTTACATGTTTTCAGTATTTTTCAAAATATCTTTTGTGTTTTAAACGAGTAAAGGGTGATTAAATTCATTTATTCATTCTTTTTTTTTTTTTTTTTGGCTTAGTCTCTTTATTAATCTGGGGTCGCCACAGTGGATTATGCAGCAGATGCCCTTCCAACTGTAACCCATCTCTGGGAAACCTACCCAACAAACACATTTACGTTGTAGCGATGTCTGCACAACGTTGTATTTTTTCAAAGGCAACGTTGCCGCTTACGTGCTCGCTACATTGTCACAACGTAGAAATGTAAGACGTGAGAAGGCTGTAGCAACGTTGTCGTGCGACATTCAGCAACCGCGAGGCGGCGTTCTTACTACTTGTATTAAGATTTTTTTTGTGGCAGTTTATCAATACTGCCTAGAATACAGGATAAGCAGCAATTCTTTTCCAGTATTGCTTAATATGAAATATTGTTCATTTATTTTTCCTATTTAATTTAACAACTGCATGTGTAAACTTTAAAGTGTAAAAATAACACACAAATGAATATAATCAAACTTTTTATTATATATTTCACAACATTTAATACATACAGTACAAATCTTATTATAAACAAACAGTATAAAGTTTAGATTATATATATATATATATATATATATATATATATATATATATATATATATATATATATATATATAAACAAACAAGAAAAGTAAACAAGAAATCATTAAAATGTAAATATATATATATATATATATATATATATATAAATAAATTTATAAATTAAAATTCAGACACTGGGCAGTGAAGCTCTGGACTGGAGAATACAGCAGACCGGGGAGCGCAGCTGAAGACCAGGCATAGTTGTTGGTATGGAGAAAGCTGTCAGAGGAAAAAAACAAATTCAACAGATAATCCAGCTTCAGAGATCCACAGCAGACAAGTCAAAATAGGCAGTGAACAAGAGAGGACAGATGGAAACGACTATGACTAGCAAGTTATTGAAGTTTCAAACATTTATTGTTATTTCATTACATATAAAATCTCCAGTGAGTAATTATGTAGCCTACTTTATTTTAATGCTTTAATAATATATCATATACCGAAATTACATACAATTAAATAAATTTAGAGATACAGGGAAAATAGGTTTGAGTTAACAGAAGTCAGAGTTAGTCTCTGAATACTTACTTAAATTATGAGAAGAGAAAGAAGAGGTCCTGTAGTTGTGGCGTTGCTCGCTATAAATGGAATGTTAAACTTAGTGTCATTTCAATAACAGCTGTACAAAATAATAAAGTAATTTTTCATAAGCATGATCTATTTTCCACATTATGAACATGCTGTTTTAAGTAACATAACTACATTTATTATGATAGTAAATAGAGTAGTATACTTCTTACCTCATTCAATTATTCTTTCCATAGATCGGGAATTACAGCAACACTGATCTGAGGTGAATTCAACAGCTGAAAACATTCTGAAAGACAAGTTACACGAGTAATTTGAAAACAACAGTGAGTGGTTAAACAATAGAGTTTTATGCAACTTACACATACTTAAAATCCAGAAATTATCAATAGAAGATTACCTCCATGTGAAAATAGCCTGTTGAGCAAAGAAAAGAGTGGGTTTTAAATAAAACATCAAAAGATCAATCAAAATAGAAATTTAGACTAGAAGACCTTTTTATTGATATCTATATTAATTAGGCATATGAACATCAACTTATATACTTTAACTTATAGAGATAGCTCACCCAAAACTGACAATTCTGCCATTTAGCCTCATCCTTTATTTGTTCCAAACTTATTTGGCTTTTTTTCTGCTAAACAATAAAGATGTAAAGCTGGAAAACTGTAACTATTTAATTAGTGTTTTCTTACTATGAAAGCAAATGCTTACAGTCTTTAGTGTTCAATAGAATAAAGAAACCTAAAGGTTTGGAATCACTTATTATTTACAGGGCAAATAATTCGTGAGTACATATCATTTTTGAGTGAACTGTCCCTTTACCGTGACACAAACTGTACAGAGGTGTTTTGTATTTAAAAGTTATTTTGTGTGTTTTGTAAAAAGTGGGTCCGCTCGTGTGATGAAGTATCATACTGACTGATCACTATGGATATGGAAAAAACTGAACTTCAAAAACATTATTTCCCATTTGACTAAAGACTATGCGTAGGTAAATAATCAGGAAATGTTTTATCGAGAGATTTAACATAATGATTTTAATGTTGTCGCCGTCCGTGAACGGAATGCTGAAATGTTACTCGCTCGTAATAACTTCATTACGGCTTTTGTGTGTGTATGTAATGTTGGAACAGATTGTTGTCGAAATCGTAGGTTTGTTTGAATATTCACGATTTACGTATCTTATTTAGCAAGAAGAAATAAAGCAATACTCACGTCTCCTCGGTCGTTGATGAATGAGACGACGGCTTGTTGAAATTTAAACTGATTCAGCTGTGACCAGTAAATGTTGTACAGTGGTCGTCCACGCAACCTAAGCACAACCTAAAGCATGCGACCCTCATGATGTTTAAATGGCAACCTTATGACATCGTTGTGACAACCTTTAGCAACAACGTAGAATCCTCAACCTTTTTGCAATGTTGATACAACGTTGTAGGAAGGTCGCTACGTTGAGGCAACGTTGTGTGTTTGTTGGGATACACTCATTCACACGCATTCACTATGGACAATTTAGCCGACCCAATTCACTTGTACCGCATGTTTTTGGTCTGTGGGGGGAAAACCCACGCAAACGCAGGGAAAACATGCAAACTCCACCCAGAAACGCAAACTGACCCAGCCGAGGCTCGAACCAGCAACCTTCTTGCAGTGAGGCGACAGCACTACCTACCGGTGAGTAAATTGTGACAAATTATTCTGTTCTGGGTAAACTATCCCTTTAAAACTTACTTGCTTTTTATTAATGCATATTGATGGTGTCTATTAATTTAATTTACCATATTGTACAGTCTATAGTAGACTCTATTGTGTTAGGAGGACACTGTATTGTGTGTTTGTGAAACAAAATCGTCAGATATCTGATTTGTTTCCCCAGACAACATTATTTTAAAAACATAATTATGCCCATATCTGCTGTTACAGAACCCTGCTGGAGCCATCACTAAAATCTAGATATTCAAACATGCACAGTGCAACAATAACCTATAAATAAAACAAATAATAATAATATTAAGCTGTTTTTGTGAAACAAACTATATACATGGTTAGTTTTCCCAGGCTCTACATTATTTATTTACAATGCAAATGTTCAATCATATACAGTACAATAATAAATTAAATAAATAAATAATAAGTGCAAAATTGTGAAGCAAAATACACAAGTAGTTAATATAAATATGACCTATTATGTAAACGTTCAAGTCTTTTTACAGTCTATGGGTTAAATACTATAAGCCATGCATGCATACCACTAAATATTTACACTAAGGAATAATTACACAAAGCAAAACTGCCATGTAATTATGTACTTTTATGTTTTAGTTTGCTTTATTTAGGTAACATTTTATGCAATGTTAAAATGCTATTTTTTAGACATGTATATAACATTGAGCCAAAACATATTTTATTTCAGAATATATTTAAATGTAAAACAACTTCAGATAATCTAACAAACCAATCTTTAGCACACAGACCGCTTAATTTTATTCCAATGTAAATATTTTTTTTAAGTAAAACACAGTAAAATTCATTATTGTGTATATTTGACTGTGCTGTACTGTATTGTACTGACTGTCCCCTTTTAGAAAAGGCTTTTTGAGCTGTGAGCTTTACATGAAAACTAAGATTTGTAAACAACAACACATGATTATCTGCATGGTAACGAAAAACTGTATATACAATCTAGGGAGAGATTGTTTTTACTTAACCAATGATACATTAAGTTGTTTATTATTCTTTGGAGTTTACATATTTAATATAGCAGCCGCCTAACAACTTTATTTTAAAACAAATCTTGTTATTTGTCACGCACATGACGTCAGCCGGCGTCGGCCCGTGACGCTGCGTCTCTTTGTTGGCCCAGCAGCAGCGTCGCTCCTCTGTTGTTGTTTTCTCTGCTGCTGGAAAAACTGGAATGCTAGCGAGCTAAAGAAGTATTCTCGTTTGCTTCTGCTCTCCCCGCCAAAAGACGAACACCAAACTCGCCCCTGCTTGGCGTGTCGTTATACGGTAAGCGCGACCCAGTCATGGACTCGGACGAGGGTTACAATTACGAATTCGACGACGAGGAAGAGGAATGCAGCGAAGACAGCGGCGAAGAGGAGACCGCGGACGACACCCTGGAGCTCGGCGAGGTGGAGTTGGTTGATCCCGTTGTGGCCGGCGGAGAGCGAGACGACTGCGGGGAGACCGGGGGTAGCGGCCTCGGGCCCGGGCAGGACGAGGAAGACTACCGCTTTGAAGTTCTTACTGCCGAGCAGATCCTGCAGCATATGGTGGAGTGTATCCGGGAGGTCAACGAGGTCATCCAGGTAAGAGTTTTCAGGGCATCCCTTCGGCTCAGATCGGCCCGGATTAGCCGTTTTAACAAGTAAAAGATATCTACGCGGTTCTGGGAAACTTTACCCCC